ATAATTAGATTTATATTTCAAAGGAGGAGTTATTTTTAGAATCTTGTCCCTCTTTCACTTCCATATTAGAAAGCATTAAATGATTTTCCATAATGCGTAGAGTTACAAAGGTATGTACGACTGGAACCTAATTACATCAATCTCTGTAGTATTTAATGCGGGACCGATGGTTTTCGCATGTCTCTTGCTGAATAACATGTTCCAATAAACATCTGCCGGAACCATCCGGAGATTTGTCCACACCCCTCCCTTGTGGAGTGGGGATGTGAAGTGTTATAACCACCAGCCTAACTTTAAATAAACCTTTTTATAACATATTATGGCTCTTGACTGCATTATTAAAGATGAATACAACAGTGATAATAGGGATGTTGCCCTGTTATTATATATATATATGCATGTAAACAGAACTCATACGATAAGTTCAAAATGAAGATAAAACAAAGGAAAATTATATACATGAATAAAGGGGACAGGAATAATAATGAAAAAAATAACAAACAGCTAGAAAAAAAAGGATGAAATTTTTTTTAAAAATCCGGAAAATAAAATATATAATCTTCTCATCTGCCCACACGATTATATCCGCAAAAAAGTGTGCTTTCTGATATTGTATCAATATAGCCAAAACAAAATATATTAATACAATAGTGTGATGAGCACTCAAAAAAATTTTTTACAAAAATCACGACAAATAAAATAAAACACAATGAGTAAAAATAACACGTAAAAGCAGAAAATAAAATAAAAGAAAAAGAAAAAACAGAATAAAACAAAATCTATAAAGCGAGTAGCGAAATCAGATGTAATTACATGAACGGGAAATTTTTCAAGAATGATTTAAAAAATATTTTCACAACAAGATTGCTAGATTACAAAATATGAAAACAAAAGTTCAAATTGAGTGTAACTAGAGGAGTTTTGTTGAAAAGTGCCGTTCTTCCTGCATTGCTGAAGTGCGTTTGATTTGGAGAAAAAAAATTTAGTAGATAATTTTAACACGGATTTACACATGTAAAAATTGTATAAATTAATAAAGAAATTTTTAGTAAATAATTTTACCCACGGATTTACTAAAAACTTCTTTATTAATTTATACAATTTTTACATGTTTAAATCCATTTCGGGCAAACCCATGTTAAAATTATCCACTAAAAAATTTTTTCTCTGTTAATTTACATAATTTTTCCATGTGCAAATCCATTTCGAGCAAATCCGTGGCTTAAATTATTTTCAAAACAGGCAATTTATGTTTCTCTTTTCTACTTTATATTTTTTCTTAAATGAATATTTATTTTCTAAAATTATTTGTGGTCAACTTTTTTAAATTATCCAGTATAATATTACCTTGCGCGCATCCATTTTGGGCCCATTCTTGGTAACTAACAAATCAAACGCACTTCAGCAATGCAGGAAGAACGGCACTTTAAAACAAAACTCCTCTAGTTACACTCAATTTGAACTGTTGTTTTTATATTTTGTAATCTGGCAATCTTGTTGCGAAAATATTTTTTAAATCATTCTTGAAAAATTTCCCGTTTATGTAAGTACATCTGATTTCGCTACTCGCTTTATAGATTTTGTTTTATTCTGTTTTTACTTTTTATTTTATTTTATTTTATTTTATTTTCTGTTTTTACGTGTTATTTTTACTTATTGGGTTCTATTTTACTTGTTGTAATTTTTGTAAAAAAAAATTTTTGAGTGCTCCTCACACTATTGTATTACTATATTTTGCTTTGGCTGTATTGATACAATATCAGAAAGCACTCTTTTTTGCGGACATAATCGTGTGGGCTGATGAGAAGATTAAATCTTTCATTTTCCGGATTTTTCAAAAAAAATTTCATACTTGTTTTCCCCTGTTGTTTGTTATTTTTTTCATTATTATTCCCCCCCCCCCTTTATTCACATAATTTTCCTTTGTTTTATCTTCATTTTGAACACATCTAATGAGTTCTGTTTACTTGCAGCTTATGCGCAATAAATGAAACTTATTGTTTTTCTTAACTTTCTTCTTGTTTTCTTATATATATATATATATAAAGCTCTTATAAAAATTTTTGGAAATAAAAGAAGCGGGGGGGGGGGAAGAGAAAAAAGAAAAAATGCGTTGGGAACCCTGTTCCGTCCCACGTCAGTCACGTGGGTAGAAAAAAACCTGAATGCAACGGAGGTCAACGTTGCCCAGAACGAGTTTTGGTTGCAACAGGTAAACACCACGACAGCACCTGAGCTTCGGTGTGCAACTCTTTCGGTTGTTGTGAAGGAATAAGCAGCTGATTATTTCGTGTCTCATGTTCTCCACCCAGGTATGTAACCAGTACTTATAAAGTACTTATTTAATAGAGTACACCTCATAACGAGATGCAATCAAACGTTGTTGCCCTTATATAGAGTCATTTCCTTCTTCATTACGAAAGAAACACTGCGTTGAGAAACGTTATTATTTGCATTTTGTGAACACCCGTACGCTTTTAAGACTCTACATGTGAAATCAATCACTTTTAAATTTCTTTTGGATTGGCTGATCGGAACAATTGTTAAATATAATATTTTATTTTTTAATTTCCATGAATTTTGTTTGTTACACCTACATGAGAGACGTGTTTCCAGAGAGGGGATCTTAACTGCCTCAGCAAGCATAATTTTTTTATTTAAATGAAAATAACTAATTATTTTTTTTTTAAATAAAGAGTCAAAAATGTAATTTTAATGAAAAGGTGTTATTTACGAGTCATTATTCATTACCCATTTCAAATAAAAACATAAAATTTTATGCGTTGAACCGTTATTGAATACCCTAATCTACTCGTATTTTTAAAATCCAGAATGAAATTATGAATAAATCTTTTCAAATATTTATTAGTACTTTTACGATGAGCTTTATATAAGTGTAGATAACGGTACCTAATAATTGTTCAATTAATAAAATTATGTATTTCTGTCTTATAAAGCTGACTTTTACTTAAGACATCAAGAGTTTTGTATGTAGTTAATATTTATGTCACGATTAATATTTATGTGACAAAAATAATTGCTATATTTTATTTGAAAAAAATTTTGAAAAAAGCCAAAACCAAATATTATTTCGCCTCTATTTTTTTTTTATTTATTCCAAACTAAGAACTCTTGAAAAATGCTTAAGAACTTGAGTAAAGCTCAATATAACATAATCAGTATAAATTCCTGATTCATATTGAATAACTTATTTTGAAGCGTTCTAGTTTGAATTATCAATATAATTCCCATTGTGCTTGCTATGGTTTAAAGTACTTAATATAAATGGGTACACTACAGTTTTTTTTAAGTAACTATTCTTTTAAATTTTTTACAGTCCATTTGTTTAATATTCACTTGTTCAGAAGATTCAGATTTTATTAACCCTCTGTGGTATTAATTTTAATCTTATTCATATCTATTGTTCCTATCCAAAATTAAGGAAAACAGTAAAAAATGCGTAATTCAAAATAAAAAGATAAAATTAAATAAGAAATGGAGGTAAGGAAATTCGTTAAAACCTCCTGTTGTCATTCATTTTGAATGAAACGCAATCTTTAATTTTCAATTATCTATTTTTGTAAGGGGAAAAAATTATATTTTTGTCACGGGACTACTGTAGACTTGTCATGTGTCATGGGTCAACTGTGGGCAAGTCATAAAATTAATTATTTGATCTATTGTTACTTTTTAAAAATTAAATAAATAAATATGGGACTCATTAATGTTTATAAATAATAATGTAATAAGATAAGTAATAATGTAAATACTTTAAACAATTTTAATTGATCTTAAAGGTTAATACCATATTCAATTTCAATTTTTACTCGCGAGTCTTCTTGAATATTTAAAATGGTAGCAAATGTTGTGCTTCACCATTTCATTTTGTAAAATTGATTTACAATGATGTTAATCACCGCGACTTATAAAGCAATTTAAATATAAAGGATTTGATAATTTTTATTTAAAGTTATAAAAGTAATTATATAGCGACCAACTTTTTCGAAAAAAAATTTTCTTGAAGAAGTGGTAATAAATGTAAATATATATGTATATATAAAATAATAAAAAATAAACATATTCCTTAAATTAAAAAACCTTTAAGCATATTAATTCATTGTTTTTTTTACTGAATTTCCCACTATGCATAAATGTATCGTAATAAATGAAAAAAATTGAAAATAATTGTGAGTGAAATATATTTGGAAATTTGTATAATTTTGGTAATAAATTCTATGATAAATCATGTTTTATAACTAACCCATATTATCATTATAAAAAGCTTTTATGGGGTGTTGTCTTATCAATCTAATAATATTGACCTGTCCATACTATCCTCACCACTATGTGTCTAGTCCCAAGTAGTCATTTTTTTTCATACTCTCATTATCCGTCTTTGAAGAGGCGTATCAAATGTGACAGTTTAAATAAGTATTGAGCATATTTATTCATAAAATATCTCCTACTGTTGAAATATGAACTTGATAGGCTAAAAAGCATTCTGTTCCTTGATAGACTAAAAAGCATTCTGTTCCTTGATAGACTAAAAAGCATTCTACCTTAAATATCGCAATGCATGATTTCAAAATTGCTGATATGGAAGCTTCCCTCATTTTGGTCCATCCGATTTAATAAAAAGGAGGTCTCAAGCATGATTTTTCAAACTGAGTTATTTTGTCGTAAAACATTTGCTGCTAAAAGAAAGATTGTTTATAGAAGTGTATATTTTGCATAGATAGGGGGCGGACAAAATAATGGAAACTTTTCTATTCTCGTACGTTTTTTCATACTTATCAAGAAATACTTATAGAATTGTTTTATTACTTCAGAAGTGTTTAAGCCATGTAATTTCTTATACGTATCACTCAAATTTAAAGACTCAGAAGTGTGAGGGACCGACAATAAATTACAAACGAAAAATAGTATCTTTGAACACCCTATGTCAAAAAATAAACTTATAATTTTATAACCTGTAATAATTATTTTGGTTATTATATGCAATAATTGCACAAAATTTTGTACGCCTTGCTTAAATGTTTATGGGGATATGAACATTTTTGTAAGAAAGATTTTTTTTTACGTTTTTTTTTCAGAAAAATTTTTCCTTAAAAATATTCAATAAAATTAAACAAAATGTTTAAAACAATTTAAAATTAACTACAAAATTTTTGCTTCAAAATTTGAAAAAAATATTCATTGAAAACTGTGCTAAATAAAGGTGATTGAAGTGGTTCTTTTGTACTGCGCAAGTGCGGAAAAAAATTGAAAAGCGATATTATTGTAATTTTGCAGTGAATCGTACTTGGCAACTAATGAAAAAAGCTCGATTAGAATATCTTAAAATTTTAAAAAGTTTCAAGCAATTTTCAGAATAGTTTTTCCATTTTTTAAATGTAAGTTTTAATTATAAGGGGTTTTCAACAAGCAATATTTTGTATCATAAGACAAATTAAATAACAAATGATAAAAACCTTACAATAAACATTCATGCACCAAAACGTGATTGTATAAAGAAAGAAAACATGATAAAGAAAGGATATTTTTAAAGGGGATGACTCCAACAATGCCGATGTCATTTTTAATAAATCTTGTTTAATAGTACAAAATGAAATTTGTGGATTATCCCTTATCATTTTGAGCCTGCTTTTAGAAGTACGAAAATTACTTAAAATTTCGCTTAGAACTTTCTAAATGTTTAAGATATTCAAATCGGACTTTTTTTATTAGTAGCCAAATACGTTTCACAACAAATCTAAGAATGAAAAATATTAAAATTTTTTCAGCGCATGGGCAGTAAAAAAGAATTATTTTAATTACTCATATCTAGCGCAGTTTTAAAGAAATTTTACTCAAACTTTAAAGCAATAATTTTGTAATCAATTTTAAATTGCTTTAAAAAAATTTTTTAATTTTATTGAATATTTTTAAAGTTATAGTAAAAAAAAGTAAGACAAAAACATTAGTTTTTTTATAAAAATATTCAAATTCTCCATAAATATTTAAGCTAGGTTGACGAGATTTTGTGCAATTAGTACATATAATAACGAAAATAACTGTTACAAGTTACAAATTCATTTGCTACAATAAATAAAGAAAAATACATTAGAAAAACAAACTAAAAAAACTAAGCAAGCTATATATATATATATAATTTTTTTATAATTTTTTTAATTAATTTGTGAATGATAAAAAAAATTGTAAAGTATAAAAATTTTGAGGCATTCAAAACTTTCTGATTTTTTTAAACTTTCATCTACTTTTCCATGATATTTGAAATGTGTTTAAGAAAATTTTTAAAAAAATTAATAACTTAACCGTTATGAAGTGATATTCCATTTTGTGCTTACTTAGCCAAACTTGAAAATCTAAGTCATTCGAATTAGTCTCTAAAGGAAAACCTTTTTTGCTATTCGCAAAGACTTCATGATGTTAAAATTAATCATATTTATCTGTAAATAATCCAGCAATTTTTAAAAATGATGGCAAAAATAAATGAATTTCTCTCGTTTTGATGAAACTTTAGCTATACAATTGCAATAGGAAAATATTTTCCGAAAAAGAGCAAAAATTAAAATTTTCGCGTAATTGATATAAATAAAATTAAAATCGTACTGCGACAGAATTCTAATGTTTGTAAATATATTTATAAATTTAATGTTTGAAAGTATGTTTAAAATGTTTGGTATCGGCTGTTATAAAAAAAGAGTACAATGCAAGGAGGTGTTTATGGCATTGTAGCTAAGTCTTTGGAAATTTGTTCATTTTAGGAGTCATTGTTAGTGTAGATAAACGAATAAATCACTTCATATTTTTTCATAAAAAAAATTATTAATAAAAGAAAATTCAAACACATTTTATTTTTAACTAATATCTTCTTCAGAATCTATTTTCAAATTTAATTTTCACTTCTTGCCGATAGCCCAATCTTTTCAACTTTCATTTACTTTTGAAGTAAATAAAATTATGGTAAAACATTATGCTAATTCACACAAATGTTAATTTTAATGTTAATTAATGCAAAATATTCCAACTGATTTTTATAAATCTGTGCACATCGCATATAAAAAAAACCTCGTCCAGTCCGATTAGAGTGTGTGTAAAATATTGCTAATTAAGTAATAATTATAAATTCTTAATCTACCAAATTTACAAGAAAATAATTTTATAGATATATATATTTATTTGAAAAAACATTGCGTACCGGTATTCATGTGCTGTATTATTAATGTCTTAAAATTAAAATCAGCACTTTCGAGAAAGTTATGGAATGTTTTAACTTCCATGACGAGAAGTTCATAATAATATTATTAAA